CTCATAAAAAGAGAGAAACAAAAGCCAATATCAACATCTTTTGGACCAACCACGGTTCCTGCTGCAAGAAATGCCAAACAGTCAGTACTCTGTGAATCTTGAGAGATGGACGAAATTTCAGAAAAAAGCAAAAAAAATAAAAATAAAAATAAAAATAAAAAATGTTCAACTATTATAACTTTTAACTTAAAAAATTTAGCAAAACAAAAAAATTGAAGAGGGAGAAGATGGTGAGGCTAGCTAGAAAGAGAAATAATAGAGAGAGTTTGAAAGACTGTGCCACTTGTCAAAAGTAAATGGAAACATCTATGATTCCTTGGTGTTGTGTGGCCTTTTCAAGTTCTAACATTCTGGTGGACAATATCTTACCAACCATTCCAAAGTGTCATATTTTTATGCATTCTTTTCACAATAATTTTAGATAATTAATCCTTTTTTCTTTGGCTAACAAACAAAATAATTTCGTCATAAAACCACACTATTGGTCTCTCTTTGCTCTCTCCTAAGTTTGAGTCAATTAATTCGACTGTAGCCAAAAACATATATAAATTAAAAAAAGTAGTTGCCTTAAGATCACCTATGGTTATGGAATTCTTATTTATTTATTTTTTTGCCTGAGTAAATATGCATTTTGAATCAGAATATCATAAACAAATAAACTAAGTATACTTCTTTTTTCACATAACAACAAATATGAAGTAGGCATATTATCAATTCTCCATGTATCTACCATTTTTTTTCTTCAAGAAAGAGTTACTACTATAGGCATTGTGGTAAATGGTTTTGTAAAATGTTCATTCAAATTGAGAAAAATTAACGGGGCGAGGATGAAAATGAAATTCATGTACTATTAATTAATTTTGCAATATGATGACTTGCTAATAATAATGCTAAAAGCCACAATGATCCGAACTTTAATTTGGATGAAACTTTAAGCTTCGGTTATCCTTGAAGTTAGGCATTACTGCATGCCCACGTAAAAATGAAGGTAATGTTGATCAGCTACTCTCTCTCTCACACACTCACACACTTTTTCTCTCTATAGTTTGCAATATTCGACCTGAAAAGCTAAACATTTCAATTAACATTAGGTATCTCTTGTCTTGTTTTCCTTGCTAGTCATTCGTCATGGTCCATCCCCACTAATAAATATCACATGCATGTATGATACATGCTTCACTAAATTTACTGTGGGAATTAGCTTTGGAAAGGACAGGGTAATGAGCCACGAATATAAATATTTGCACCTACTTATAACTGAAACCAAGACACATGAGGAGAAACAAAGGGGGAGAGAGAGAGAGAGAGATGGTGGGAGGTGAAGTGTGTTCCAAGACACAATGATTACTTGGTCTTGGGTAAGCAGAAAGGGTGGCGTGGACATAGCAAGAGTATTGAACAACGTGGGGGGCTTGACCGAGGTACCAAGGAAAAGGAAACGCCTAAAGCCCAAAGGGCTCAAAATGCTCCAAAAGAACTAATAAAATATTTGAAATTGTTTATTAACTAAAAATGAAGGAGAAAAAAATAAACTGCTGTACGAGTGTACCTTAACTTTACCTTGAAGTGTGAAAATTATTCAAAACCTCTCTGAATATTAACCATTGAAAGAACTGTAATATAAAATATTTTTTATATATACTGGATATCAGTTAGGAATAAGTTTTTCAAGTAATATATATGAAATATTTTATGGATTTTATAATTCTCAAGTTACATGAGAATTAAAATCTTATGTTGTAAAAATAAAAAGCATGTGAGATCCATATGATAAAAATAATTATGTGTAGGACCCATGTCCGCACGGAAATCGAAGGGTGTACGTGTAGAAAGATTTTAATTCTCATGTTAAATGAGAATTATAAAATCCATATTTTATTTATTATCTAAACTGTTTTGATTTGTTAATTGTATCAATATGTTAGAAGATATAACATACAAACCAAGGCCGACCATTTATAAATTTAAGTTTTTGAGTTGAAATGGTTCTTTACGTGCTTTAATATCATGATAAGCAACTAATTCAACTCAATAACTTAAGTATTTGGATTGAAATGATTTTTTACTAGTATCAAAGCCAAAGTGCATGATCACGAGTTAATTTGATCATCATCGCTCTCTACTTTCTAGTGGAATTAAGTTAGTACAAAATAAAATTAAAAAATGGATATATGTTATATTCATGTTTCAAGTTCAAAGGGCTATTAAGTAAAGTAGTGTATTAAAAAGATATAATATAAAAATTACTGAAAACTCATCACTTATAAATTTAAGTTTTTGGGTTGAAATAGTTATTTATACAAACTTTGATTAAAAAAAACTAACCCACAATTTTGTCTGTTTCAATAATAATTTAATCAGTTTATGGAGAGAGAAAAATTGCATTCCTCAATATGCTTCAGTCTTAAAATGAAAGAAAGAAAAAGGGTTAGCTAAGCAATTAATCATGATGATACTATCAGTCTTTTTGGTCCTTGGTCGGTCGACAATCTGTGTTGTGTGTTCACTATGTTTTGCTTGTGTTTCCCATCCCAGTCTCGCTTTCTCTCCCACACACAGCTAGTTTAATTATACGCAAATTGTAATTGCTTTGAGTTTTAGGAGAACGTTTGGCACCACTTTTTTTTAAGTTAAAAGTTATTTTTAAGTTAAAACTAAAAAAAAAAAACTTTAAAAATAAAGCTACAAGCTATTTTATAATTATATAAATTTTTTAGTTTAATAGTTATTTAAAAGCTGTTCATTTGAAAAAACACATATTTCAACAAAAAAAATTGTACAACTTAAAAAAAAATTCCAGCTAAAAGCTTTTAGCTATTTTTTTATTATAAAAAAAACTCTTTTTATTATAAGAACTTTTATAAAATTCTAAGCCTGTTTAGATCATTTATTTATTTTTTAAATTAAAAACTACTTTTAAGCTAAAGCTAAAAAAAGAGCTTTAAAAAAATTAAAAGTTGTGTGGTGATTACATAAAAAATTTAGCTTAAAAGCATACATTTAAAGAAAAGCTCTCTCTATCTCTATGGCTCTTCATTTAAAAAAAAAAACACATAATTCAAGAAAAGCTGATAAGAGTTTAAGAAAAAGTTCCTAGGAGCTTTTGGCTTTTGACTTTTTTTTCATTATAATTTTTTTTTATTATAAGAATTTTTCTCAAAATCTGTTTGGCGTAACTTAGAGAAGCTAATAATAAAAGAATCCAAATAGACATCCTATTTGGCCTAGATTCTACTTATAAGAAGCAGAGAAACTAAAAAAAGACATCTCACATATACACTAAATATGATTTATTACAAATATAATATTTTATACAGCATCATTTGATAGTATTTTAATATGTTATTTAAAAAGTTGAACTTAGACTTTCTTGGATAACTATTATCAAAGTTAAACTTCTTTTTGATAATTTTCTAATATAAAGGGAAAAGTGTTTGTAAAGTGTTTGTCATTTTAAATAATACAACTTTGTGTCATTTTTTAATGAAATTATGACGTTGTGGTGTGTTTTTATATTCTCTCTCTTTCATTTTCTTTTTTTCCTAATTTTTTTAAAACAAAATATAAAAAATACCAAAAGCACACCAAAACGACGTAATTTTATTAAAAATGACATAAAGTTGTATCATTTAAAATGACAAATATTTTTCTCATAAATAAATAAAGGTTAAGTGTTTTTTTTTTTGGAAACTGATCCTAATTACCTCTTTGAGGCGAATCAGAACTCTGGTATTACGGGTTCGACTCTTTGAGCCGCCTATGGGACTAATCCAGAGTTCGGGTGCGAGTCCAAGGATTACGGTACTTATGCCCCTCCCCAGATGGTATTGGTGAGATTCAAACTGAGGTCCTCTCTTACCACTCAGTCCTCATGCTACCAACTGAGCCACCACACTTGAGTAAGGTTAATTGTTACTACTTACGAGAGATAAAATTATCTATTATAATTTTAAAATGCTGTTGTTTTGTGATTTGGGAATTCTTTAAAAAAAAATTATTTTTTTGTCATATTAATCTTCATCATAGCAATTTTGTTCCTTAATACCAAAATAGCGTTACTCGGAATTATAGGATATAATTTGATCTCATATATTTAGAAAGAAAAAAAAAACCCCATAATTAAATGAGAGCATAATCGTTTACCAAAAAAAAAAATGAGAGCATAATGTATATAAATTACAATTAAAAACATATATATAGTATTGGTGTAAAGAAGATCCCCACACCCAATGAAAGCTACATATATGGGTGTTTATAGATATAGCGAATGTCGTAAGAAGAAAGGAAAGTGGGAGTAGCAGCACTCAAACACAAAGAGACTCTATATATGTTAGACTGTGGTAGTGGGCAGAAGGCTGCAGAGACAAAGATAAGAAGGAAGAAAAAAAAAAAAAAAAAAAAACCAAAAAGAGATGAACAAAGCACAAAGGAAAAGGAAAGTTTTGTTCAAGTTAAAAGTATAAAAAAGGATCATTACCTTACCCCGCACAAAGGTTTGTGGCAGAAAAAATGTACAAGTGAAAGAGATTTGACATTGAGACACAAAGAGAAAGAGAGATACAAAGCCTTGGCCGCCCACCACCTAAGAGAAAGAAACAAAGAAAGTAACCAATTGATTTTATCCTTAGCATCATAGAATTACATTACAACACCATAATAAGTCATCACATATCAAAGGAAGGTTTGTGTGTCCTACTTGTTTTATTATTATTATTATTATTATTATTTTTATTATCATTCCTTGTGCGAGTGTAAAGCAAACTCTTTATTCTCTCAAATTCAATCCTCTATTTTCTTGGTCATATCAGACAAAACAAAATAATAATAATAATAATAATAATAACAAAAAGAAGCTGCATAGAAAACCTACCCCAGCTTCTGACATTTGAATCTCTTTTTTTTTTTTTCTTCTTTTTTTTCACCTCAACAAAATATTCTTATATAAAGCCTTGGAGTTTGGACTCTTGAATAGAGTTAGTATAAAACAGGAGACAAGGGAAATGATAGAGGAAGATCAAGGACAGTGTTCTTCTCAAGCGATCAATAACTTTCAAACCTATCAAGAGCAGCTTCTCCTTCAACAACAGATCATGCAGCAACAAAACAGTGATATCTTTGGTGGAGGAGGAAGAGGATTAATGAACATGTTCCCTTCTGAAGTTTCTCCAATCATGCAACAACCATGGTCTATGCCTCAGGTTCATCACCCTTTCAACCCTGTCAGAGATCATGACCCTTTTCTTGTCCCTCCTCATCAGCCTTCACCCTATGCAAGTTTTTTCAACAGAAGGGTTCCTTCTCTTCAGTTTGCATATGAGGATCCATCTTCTAACCATCTCAGAATCATATCAGATAACATTGGAACTGTGGTTCAACCTGGTTCAGCACCCTTTGGGCTTCAAGCCGAGCTTGGCAAGATGACTGCTCAAGAAATCATGGAGGCTAAGGCTCTTGCAGCATCCAAGAGTCACAGTGAAGCTGAAAGGAGACGCAGAGAGAGAATCAATAACCATCTTGCTAAACTCCGCAGCATGTTACCCAGCACAACCAAAGTAAGTCTATTAATTGTTCAAATTAAACTCTTCCCAAATCCCTCTTATTCAGATTTTAAAGAATATTATAATAATCACCACTTATAAATTAATTACTAGTAATTAATTAATTAATCATATCAGTTCCAAGAAAAATGCAAAACAAAAATCAAAGATCTCAATCTCATATGTTTATTGCTATCACATATATACTAGCGTAAGAGTGTGTTATGGAGTGTTCTTTCTTCATGCAACTTTTCAATTCAAAGAGCGATTAATTTGTAAATCTTTTCAAGATTCTATTTGTTACTTTGGTCTGATGAAAACAAAACCAAAATCTAATAATTAACCTTTTAGAAAATGAGGTGCAAAGAATCTTATTGTTTGCCTGCTTTTTTTACCACCCTTTTTGGCTTTTATTAGTTCTTCTTGTGTTTACACATTCTTTTCTTCTTCTTCTTCATCTTTTTCTTCCTTTTTTGTTTTGTTTTTGGCTTTCTTGTCATTAATTAATAACTTTAATTATTAAGTACATGTATTCTTTGGGAGTCTCTCTGTGTGGTAGTTCCGAGGTGGTAGCTAGAAAAAGTAATAAAAGAGAAGAGAAAAGGGTATTAGCGTTAATGTCGCTTGGTTGGTATAGATAAAGAGAAACCAAGTAGCAGTTGAAAAGCTTCGCATGAAAATTTCTTGCCGGATAATGTTGATCAGTCAAACTCAATTTCGAGAATGAAAAGAAATAAAGCCAGACACAAACTAGCACCCTTGTCAGTCACAAACACAAACACACACACACACACACTATAGCTATAATATGCTGCATGACACTTCCACCATTCAAATATACCCACTAGTTCCATTTCACAATCATCATGCTATAACCTACCTACCAATTCTTTTCACACTATGTATAATTTATTTGAACACGCTTTAATTTATAATATTATAATTACACATGATAATATCTTCTTTTTTTTTTCTTTTTTTCTTTTTTTTTTGTAGACAGATAAAGCATCATTGCTAGCTGAAGTGATTCAGCATGTGAAGGAACTGAAGCGTCAAACTTCATTGATAGCAGAAACGAGTCCAGTTCCTACGGAAGCTGATGAGTTAACAGTGGATGCAGCTGATGAAGATGGCAAGTTTGTGATCAAAGCCTCGCTTTGTTGTGATGATAGGTCAGATCTTTTGCCTGAACTCATCAAAACCTTGAAAGCGTTAAGGTTAAGAACACTCAAAGCTGAGATTACTACACTTGGTGGGCGTGTCAAGAACGTGTTGTTTATAACTGGTGAAGAGGATTCAAGTAGCAGTGAAGAATATAGTCACCACCATCAGCAGCATCAACAGTACTGCATTAGTTCAATACAAGAAGCACTCAAGGCAGTGATGGAGAAGAGCGTTGGGGATGAGTCAGCATCTGCAAGTGTTAAGAGACAAAGGACCAATATAATATCAATATCCTAGAACAAATTAAAGGTCTTTATAAATTTTATCTAATTAAAGGCCTATTTTTCATTATTATCGTACTTAGTTATTATTTTGGGGTGTGGTTTTCTTTTGTCTTTTTTCAATGGTGTGCTGAAAATTATTGTTGTAATGTATCGTCTAGCTCCATTAACATTATCATATCTTGCAATGAAGTAATGATAATTTGGTGGGTTTTTTTACATGTACTTGTTGCTTAACACTGCTTGAGTTGAGTCTAAGAGAGATGGGTATATATGAGGGTACGTAGAGTTGGGTAGGAAGAAAAACAGGGAAGGATTTTTTATTTTTATTTTTCTTAAAAAAAAAAAGGTTTAAGATTAGGGGAGATATGCAGCTTGCAATATTACAGAAGATCACCAATATCTCAAAGAGAATTTAAAGTGAAATTATTATATAATATCCTTTATGAAAGAGGAAAAGCTAAGAATCAAATCCTAACATGAAAAATAAGGTCTTAATTTATTAATGCTCTTGAGAAGTGAAACTATATATATGTATATGCCGTAGCAGTTGCTTGGGACTCTTTTGTTTTGAAGTTTTCGTGTGGAACGATCTCCTCCCAGGCACCATGGGAAAGTGATGATGAATTAATGGACATGTGCTACGTCCCCCTATATAAGAGGCTAATGGTAACAAAACCACTATACCTTGTCCTAACCAACCACTTTAATCCTGCAATGCTTTCCCAGGCATATACCATGCATTTCAATTCAGAAAAAGTGTTGAATAAATATATATAAGATCTAAATAATGAGATTGCTTGTTCATCTGAGTTGCTTGCTAGCTAGAGGTCAGAGGTGATGAAATATTGATCAATTTATATGTCTAAAATTTAAATACGTGAGCGTTAAAACATAAATATATACTTTATCTTCATTATTTTTTTTTATAAAGTTCTTTTTAATTTGATTTTTACTTCATTGCTTTTATGGTTACAAGAATTAAAATTTCTTAAACTGTTTTTATCATAAGCATTATTCAAATTATTAGTTTGACATGTGTAAAGTTATTTGAATCATGTTGAAAATACATTTATTTCTTAAAAGCACCTTAGTCTTACTCTTGATTTAAGTACAAGTTCATATCTAAGAATTTCTCTATTATAATTAACAGATGCTAATATGTCTCTGTATAATTGAACTTAAAAAATGTATTTAAAATTTTTTACTGTTAGACATTATCATCAGAATCATTAAAAGAATATGGCTTTTAATCATTATAAATAAAATATTTTATATACTTTGTAATAAAATTTTAAGATCTATCAACCATTATGTAGTCATTTTCTTAGAAGGAAAACTAAAATTAACGGAAAAACCACTTAAAATAAGATTGAAAATTTGAAATTGATTCATTCAGTTTATAACTATTTCCATTGGCCCAAAGTGTAGCCATAAAACAATTTTTTTTAAGGAGGAATGATGAAGAGAATAATAAATAGAAATTATAGAGATTTAGGCTTAAAAAGGATGAAGAGAATAATATACATGAATAATGTTGTATATTGATGTGATATTATGTGATAAAAAATACTTTTAAACCTTATTATTTATACTAAATCGGGACCCTGAAATGATGCAAGAGTCATATTTTAAACCCGGACTAGATATAGACATATAGTTACATAGGCTAAATTACTAGCTCCTGAGTAAGGATTTTTTTTTCAAGTGGACGTGTTTTTGAAAGTAAAGAGCAATATCAACAGATCAGTTCTGGTTGTTTTTTTTACATTTTTTAGTAGTCTTCTTTATTTATACGTAAAACTTTGATTAATTTTTTACAAGATAAAATTTTGATTCACTTCAACATTCTTTAGCATTATTTATTATATTACAGTTATGGCGTAATTGATTTATGTAATATAAAGCGTGAGGGAACAAGACTGCAACTATATATTATGCGCCCATATGACCTGTAAGTTTATATCCATTTAATTAACATATAGACTTTCATGTGTTCTTGTCTGGTCTCTTTTCACTTAGTTCCTTTTCCTCTTTCTGCTAAATCACATGATGTGAAGCAAACACTGAATGCATGCGTAACATTTTTCACGAAAGTTTTTCTATATACAAGAAGGCCTTGGCCTATATTAAAAGAAGAATCACACAGCCATAGGCAATCTTAATCAAATTATTGCAAGTAAACTCTTTGTCAAAAGAAAAAATAAAATTAGTTGAACAAATAAAATTTCAATTGCAGTGGAAGTGCAGCTATACTTTTTTAAACAGAAATTGAAAGAAAGAATTTTAAACTTAACCACAAAAATGATTTGACCTATTTCAAAATTTGGACCCAACTAAACCAAATAAACCCATTTAAAAGTAACAATCATGAAACCAAATGAATAACATATAATTATTATATCCTTAGGACAATGTTTGATTAATTACTTATTATGTTGCGGGAGGAAAGTGAAATTCTTATGTTTGAAATGCTTAACGAAAAGGTTAATGCCTTTTTATATGTTTGCTTTGATATATATAATCATTGCAATTGTTTATTTGAATTTTTAATATTATGTGACATTATTTAGTAAATAATTTAGATAATTATGCTAGAATTAATAATAACATTTTTTCCTGATAAATTTATGTAATTACGATAAATATTTTGATAATTTAACATGTTAAATTTTTTGATACCACCTAAATTTTTGGGTTGATTCCGTCGCTGATAGCACACACAATTTTTGGATATAGTTTAAAGTGCTCTTAGTCTTATGCATTTTATTGAAGAAGATAAAATTAGATTGAATGTAAACTATTATTGATTTACAACTAGAAATTTTTTTATCGACAATTATGTATGAATTTGGATAACTTTGCTTAATAATATATTATTCTAAAATTCAAATGTAGGACTGACCACACCTACTTGTACCATTGCAACTAATAAAAGTAGTCACTTTGTAATAACAGATCGATCATTCGAAAATTTATTTTTGACTTATTTGAATATGATACGCATGAAAAGTTTAATTATGCATTTCAAACATTTTTTTAATTATTAGTATGCCTACTTACCAACACCTTATGAGATTGGATGGCATAAAATAATTTACCTTACGTGGAAAATGGCTTTCATTAGCTATAAAAACAAATAATGGTAAACCGAGGAGACAATAATTCCTAGGTAGCGCATCCTCAATTCAGGTACATAGAATCTCATACACATGTAAACTTTGCAAAGTTCATTCCCAACAAGATTTCCAGAACGATGAGAGTGTTGGTATGACGAGTTTCTAAACTGCTGCACCAGCCTCTTACAATCTCGAACAACCAATAGTATCAAAGTATGAGTCATATTTTATTCTATTGTTGATGACCTGCCCTCCAAACAACTTGTTTCATGAGCAATATTGTCAAAGGAAACATAGTTCCAAAAATTAGCTTGTTGTACAATTGTAAGCCAATTAGATGCAGTTCACTCCTGATTCTGAATAGATGCCTGAGTCGCCAATGGCATCTTCCCTGGTAGTACAAACTAGCTAGTGGCAAATTCCATCTTATATTTAACAGACAAAACTTACGGAGTTCAAACATAATTATTTAACTAAATCATGAAAATGATGTTGTTGTATTGTATGGAACTTGCACGGCTTGTAGATAGTGATAAGCCAGGAGAGTTAGAAAAATAACATTGTCAAAAATTGAAACGAAGAAAAGTTAGATTTACTGTATGTGCACGAGTCCATTACTACATGGTAGTTAGAACTGTATTCGTTCCGAGTACCACATTGTCCAAATATATATATACACAAAATATATCACAGTCTGAAAGGATGTCAGAATACTGAGTTGGGGTGCGCCAGCTTGTGACCCAAGTGGGGGCTTTTGGATGATGCAACACAGCTTTAACTTCACTTGGTTGGGCTGATGGTTGCATCTTGCAGGCCTGACTCAACATCTTGAGAAACTTGTGGAGTTATGAAATTAAATGTAGTTTTTTTTTTTTGTTAAAAACTCATAATTTTTTAAAATTAACCCCTTCATACCCAAATAAATGTACTCATTCATGAGAAAAGTCCAATTGGACCAAGACAAATATACCCATTCATGAGAAAAGTCCATTTGGATCAAGACAAATATAGGGTCACTCCATTTTTTAACATTTTGACATATGTTGCTTTAGGCCCACATTACCATTCTTACCATTCAAAGTATTATATTTCACAAGTCTTACATTTGAATAACATGCTCCATCACACTAATAATATGCAAAGTATCACAAAGTTTTAATGAATTTTATGCATATAAATTTTTAAAAATCACATTCTTAAGAATTTTCTACTTCTTAAGAATCACTTTTGAATATTTATTAAAAATTCATATTATTTTTTAAAATTAAGCCTTTGACCCAAATTTCTGCAATTGCTATATGAACCTAGCTCGTATCATATGAACCAGTTGGGTTATCTAATAAAATGTACCCATTCATGAGAAAAGTCCAGTTGGACCAAGACAAATATACCCATTCATAAGAAAAGTCCATTTGGAGCGAGACAAACATAGACACTTCATTTTTTAACTTTTTCACATATGCTGCTTTAGGCCCACATTACCATTCTTCTATTTTTACCAGTTAAAGTATTATATTTCACAAGTCTTACATTTTAAATGTGAATAACATGCTCCATCACACTAATAACATGCAAATGTATCACAAAATTTTAAAGAATTTTATGCATACAAATTTTTACAAATCACTTTCTTAAGAATTTTATACTTCTTAAGAATCACTTTTGAATACTTGTTAAAAATTCATATAGTTTTTTAAAATCTTATAAATTTATATTGTCCTTTCAAATCCTGTAAATTTTATTAAAAAAATTTAAAATATAATCTTATAATATCTTGATTGTAGAAAAAATAAATTAAAAGAGTCAAGTCATTACTATTCTAGATAGTCTTTTAAAATCTATAAATTTTCTAGGCTAAATTATACATAACCGTATGGTAGTTTAATGCTTTTTCAAAAAACCACCTTATACTTTTAATTAAAATAAATAACCCCCTCAAACTTTAATATTATAACAATTAAACATATTTAATAATTTTAAGAAAAAAATATCCACACTCACCATCTTCTACCTGCCTTATGTAACCGCCCTAAAGTTCCATCCAACCAAACCTTTTATAAT